TCACCGGACCTTGCATAAATTCGAGATCAATCATCACCGCGGATATAAATAGATTGCGTCGACACATATTGCCATTGCTTCGCCCCAGTCCAAAACTAAGCAAAACTCAATTAGGTATCGCAAACCTGAGGCCGAAAGGTGGGTCTCTCGGACAAGTATAAAGATAGAGCGATGCAGGTTAACTCATTGCTTCTAAATAAGCGCGTTTTTCCATACCAGGTTTGGGAACTGCGCAAGCACAGCAATTTGGTTTTCACAGAACGAGGCATCTGAACCTGCCCTGTGTTGTAGCAAGCGCTACCGCCTCAGGGCCACGTCAGAAACAGGTGCTAGAGTACAGCAGTCCCTAAAATAAAAAGTTCTACGTGTTTTTCTCAACACAAAAAAAAAATGTATCGCTGAACGTTTATTTTTCTTCCAAATGAATCGCTAACGGGCCCGATCATGCAGATCCCAAGGTTTCGTAGCTAACCGCTATCCCATTGAAAATTTAAATGAAATTTTCTAAAACTTCTAACTGCAAAATGAAGCCCGAGCTGACGCCATTCATCTCCATGTATCCACGTCGTCGACCTCCATTTTACCATTAAAATTTTGCAAAACATCACTCGTAACTTTTGAATAAGACAAAAATTATAATTCTAACACTTTAGTACCTGATCTGGACCACTACCTGCAGTTACATTTGTGGAGAAACTGAGCATTCCGCGATGAGTATCACTATTCTGATGCGAGAAAAAAGAAACGAAAATACTGGTGCATTGTTTTTGTGGTCACGATGTATCGGTCTCTACGTGACTCCTTGGATTTCTGTGCTTAGTCTTAGCTCGCCCTGTCTTATGTTGGCGTCACGCGCGTCACAGATAAATTAGACTGGATCGTAGACACAGTGTGCAGCGGCGGCACAGCTACAGGTCTTTCTCATAAGAACGCTGCCATGCACCTTGCAATTGCGGCGCCGACGCCGCCGCCTAGTGGTTTATCACTGGCGATACTGGCTAGTTCTTGCTCTGAGTATAGAGTGTTGTGAGTATACAGAGTTATTGTCTACGCTCGGCTAAGCACTTGGCGGGCCGAATAAAATAGGCTTATCTCCTCGAAAGAACGAGGATGAGGACGATGGCTTGGGTTTAGTTGCTACTATACGACGAAACATGAGCAGTTTAAGTAGCCAGGGATATATGCACGCGAGCTCTCGGCATTTGATACCTGCTCCTTGAACGGTGGCACGAAGGTTCTTTGAAGCCGTCTTTACATGTCATAAAATGATGGCATTTGCAGTGCTAACTCAGTCGGAGCATTGGAATCGCGGGTAGGGTTTGATACGCTTGTCGTCAACGAAGTTCAAGCACATTCATGATGGTGAGCCTGGCACATGGCCCTCGCGATTGACTCTCGCGATCCACTGACGTCGTAAATAGGAATCCGTGGGTGACGTGTGCAGCGGAGAAGCATTGGTGGCTACACTGACGCAGCAGCCTCTTATGCTCATCGCGCAGCTTGTAGAGATTAGGCTTCATTTTTATACAATTATCTGTGCACCGAAGAACGCGCACTGCAGTGATAACCCGACGAACGTAGATTTTAGTGCAAGTTGCTACAATAAAAAGTAAGACTGGGTGTAGATTAACATTACGACCCTATAAATCGATACGCTTTAATCGATTTAGTATTCGATTGATTGGTTACGTTGGCATTCAAGCATCCTAAGATATCTGTGAAACTATACCTTTGTTCTCCCTATTTCTTTTTCATGTCATCAGTGGCGCAAGAGGCAGCCATTTGGAACTTGACGCTGCAGCGCCCACTAAAAGAAAACACGAGCGAGCGATTTTAAAAGTGAAATACTTATACATTTTGATGTAAACCTTATAACTCTGGATGACAGTCGTAAGGGACGCTAAAGCTTTTTTTTCTCGTGAAATACAACAGTGCTGCCTGCTAAAAGGGATAAATGAAAACCAAGTAGTTAGAACGCGTTTTTATTTTATTTTCACAAATTAATAACTGGGAACTCAACCTCTTAACCAGTTAAAAAGATTAACCGATATTGAACCATTCATTGATTAAACAAAAAGTTAATCTATCAATTTTCCAGCCACAATAAAAAGGAAACTATTTGGAACACACTCGTGCACGGCGTAGCCGTGCAGGAGTGTGTTCCATATAGTTTCCTTTTTATTGTGCGATTAATCAGGCGATTAATCCCGGTTAATCAAGCATATATGCTTCATTAATCGCGACGCGTTATGCTACGCCCTCTCCATTCGTCTGTATACTCTTTGCGGTTGCATGTCAGTGAGTAATTCCAAAAGCACCTAATCGAGGGTGCGTCAGCTTCCTGCTCAATTACACATAAAAAATGGTTTATAAACGTACCTTTTCCACGTAATTTGTAGCCAGCGCACAATTGACACACCCTCAACCCGCCGTTTTGCGGGCGCATATGATATATCATTAGGCCGCATATTAGTTCAACACTATACTATGTTTATTCAAAGGAGACTAGATGACATAAATTAGTTAATTCTGAGCAGGCTTTTTCTTCTTTTTATCATGGGAACTTGTCCGAAATTTATGGTTATCGGGCTGTCATTGCGTTGTCCTCGGGTGATCAAATATTACACTAAACGATATCACAACCGCGGAAAGTGGTGCAATGAGCGCAAGAAGGAGCGCGAGTATTGCTGTAATGTTTTCTGTACTTCACGCCATGATCCCGCTGGACGACGTCAAATGGATTGCGAGCGGGCTAGTCGTGTGAGTTTTGTGCCAAACTTGTTTTTATGTGTGTTCAGACTGCCTCGTTAACGTTGCCATTTTAGCTTGTGGCGTAAAAAACGAAAATTGAAAATTGCCGTTTTTAGATACCAATAGTTTGAAGCAAAAGTATCGTTTTCATACGTTCTGATTCAATAACTAAATTTATTTCGTACTCGTGTTAAGTGAGACTGAACCTGACCGTTCACTTCCACGAATGGTCCCAGAAGTTGACTGAAGTGCGCGAACGCTAGCGCTTCATTTTAGCTCTCTTAAACGTGGCGTGCGCGTCCTGATCTTGGACAGTATCGCGGATTTTCTTTGCGGAAGACACGACTGCAACGAGTTCCGAAAAAGGTTCTTCTTGAGGACAAAATCTCTCTAAAGGCCAAAACAGGGCCCCGCGCGACCTTGGTTGGAAATCAAAACCGAAACCCGGAACACCGCTAGCGGACTGACTTCCACTCCCAGTGCGCAGCGGTTCTGAGTCGCCTCCTTATGAGATGCGTCCATAATAATCCCGCTGTGCTATTCAGTTAGAACATTAAAAAGAAAAGAGAGTGATTGAATAAATCTAGTGAAATTATCAGTTCGCTACAGCGGTATCCCCGGCACAGCAGAAGCCAGCCAGATTGACTTCCGCTAGGTTCACTCGTGCCTGGAATATCGCTTGCGTACTGACGTCCACTCTTGAAATGACCATCGCGCATGGATTCCTGGAAATAGTCTGTTCAAAGATACGTGACGTGGCAAAAGTGAATTCCTGGAAGGCGTGAATAGAAGGTAATTTTTCTATCCCAATGTAACTCGTAAATAGAATACATAAGAATGGACTTTAATTCGTCCGCGAGAGTGGTCTCAAGTTTGCTTAAGGTTCGTCGCCGTCAGCGGAGTATATTCACTTTCAAGCTTCGCGGGGGATGTTATTGAGTGGACGGCAAGAGAGCCGCGCACACACTCCAGGAACGGTCTAAAACAAATAAACAAAACGGCTCACGCAAAGAGAGCTCGTGTTTAAGCAGGGATCTAAACAGCTTTGTATTTGCCTCGTGCGCCTTCCGGATGCTGGCGTGCTGACGACCGAAACCGGCGCAAGACACACAAACACTGGGGAACTTTGAGATGTTTCGAAACTTGCATCCTCACTGTGTGCACTGTCATCACCGCCAGAGCACACTCGTCATAATCCGCATCGCGGCAGTGTGCGCACGAAACATAAATGAACCCCCCACCCCCAAATAAGTAAATAAATAAATGATAAAAGAAGCAATCGCTGACAGTTTGACAGCTTTTAAGTCACGAGTGCACACAAACACACAGACACACACACTCAGACACGGAGAGGAAAACGTTTGCACTTCCTAATTGAGTGAACTGCAGCTGATAATCCAAAGGTTTTCCGACGACTTCGCACTGGCATCCCGAGGGCGGAACACGATGGCGGAAATCTGGAAAACGTCAAAAAATTAAGAAAACAGAAGAGCGAAAGTTTGGAGAGCGAACAAAATGTTGGCGTAAGAACCGTCGAGATCACTTTAAGGACTGGCGGCCATCATGCGCAGGAGCGGAGAGAGCTCCGTTTCTCCGCCATTTTGTTTTGCCGTCTTTCCTCCACACTGTCGTCATCATCTTCGCTCTCTTCTTCCCAAAATACGGTCCGCCCTTCACTCCTGATCTCTGGGCCTGTGCCGGAGCCTCCCTCAACTCCCGATTTTCTTTTTTGCTTTACTTCCTTTTTTTTTCTCCTTTTTATTGTTTTGGGGAGAGGAACAAACGACCCCGCCTTCGCGCGAACCGCGCGCGCGCGCTTTGGCGCGGCAAACGTTTTTGGCGCGCAAGTGTAGGGAGGAAAGCGCGGGAACGCGAGGAAGCGGAAGAAAAAAAGGGGGCGCGCCGCGTTCCCTCACTGGCGGGGATGGGAGCAGGTGCAGCCCCGCGCCGCGACCAATAGGGACGCGTCTTCCTCTCACCTGCAGTTCTGTGCGCCCCGATTGGTTCGTCCGTCGGCTCCAAGACATGACGTCAATCCGTTTTTCCCTCCTTCCCTCTTCGATCCTACGTCTTCTCCTCTCTCTAGGGAAACACGATACCTCCTTTCCCCTTTAGGAAACGTGGCCCGGGCGCGGGAGCGGAGAAATGGGGAATGAAGAGGAGGGAAGCGTCTTGAGGAGGGAAGGGAAAGGGTTTGGGACCCTTTCCACATATTTGGCGGAATTTCGGCTGAGAGAGCGCGCGCGTGCCCACTCGCGCCGCCGTCGACCGCCGCTAGAAAGGGGCCCCAGAAAGCAGCCGACAGCCCCAGACGAAAGCTTTCTCGCTGTCCAGGTAAGCTATTTTCAGAGGGGGTTTTCCCCTTAATTGTTTGCTTTGCGAAGCCATTTTTGGTCGCGCATTTATTTATTTATTTACTTGGCCCGGCTTTTTCGTGCGTTTTATTTAGGGCGTGCGCTTCTATAGCCCTGACCCAGAGTCAAACCTGACTTCTGGTGCCAGAAAGGTGATGCAAGTTTTCGTCACAATAAGGAAAATTTTGTAGTTTACTTCGAAAAAATGGGCACCCGTATTTAGATGCCTTTTGGTTCATACTGCGTTTTGACTACGGCATTAGAGGAAACATTTTCTGTTTTGCATTCCGTGGCTTGAAATCTAATTAGGTCTGCGTCTGCATATTTTCTACATTCGGTGGTTAAAAATATTGTTTTTCATATAATATTGTTCGGAAGCGTGCTAAATGCGAAATCGTCTCTCTTTTTTTTTAGAACAAAATTTTAGCTTTTTTTCAATATGACGTATTATTAATATAATAAAATAATTTTTATACAAAATATTACAGCCCAAAGGTGCAAAATTTTTTTAGTATATTAAGAATGCTAAGAAGTTTCGAGCATTTATTTAACTGACTGTGCAGAACGCTGGAAAAACAATTCAAGCAAATTTAAACGAAAGCAAGAGGTCTTAATAAAGACAACGAAAATGCTCAAAAATGTTTGAATCAGACGTTCATATTTATTGCCAAATGTACATTAGAACTTTGCCTCTTCGACATTTAGGAATTTATCGTATTACGGCAAGCTTTCTTCCCATCGCGACTTTGGAGTACAGCAGTGAAGCCGAACACACGTAGGGACGTATGACTGATTTGAACCTTAGAAGCCAGTAAACCTTTCCAAAACGTTTTTAAGGCAAAATATTGTAAATATATATACGCAATATAAGGTTAGCGGCCTCAAACCATCGTTTCGGTATAAATTCTGCAAAATCTCACCAGAATTTAACAAACTAGACTCTTCATTCACTTCCCTCACATCTGTATGACCCGTCGTTCAAGCACTGCTTGAAAATCACCATAAACAAATTCGTTGTTTATGACCTGTCTAAAACATTCCACCAAACAGCCGTTTCTTAGTCAGGCTCGACTACATATTCGCCTCTGGTCCAAAAATTGCGCGTTTGTTCGCCATCAAAGTCTCGACTGGCAAAATAATTTGAACATCGTTTTCTTCACTTGAAGGCGTCAAATATACTCTTTTATTAGCTCGTCCAAGTGGCCTAAGGCGTCATCAGGAATAATCTTGGCAGGTTTTTATTTATTAAGACAGGTGCACTTTTTAACAAAAGTTATTATGAACGCCCTTATTTCAGTTGTGGTGTTTTGCGAGTGCTTGGCTAAAGTTTGGCCAAGTGGGAAGGAATACGGTTTGGAGCACCGTGATATGTTCAATGTGCAACGTAAAAACCTGATATAATTGTTGGCGGGACAATTGTAGTATTTAGTCTGACGCAATCGATATGTAATTTCACTCACTTTATTTGTTTTATTTTAGGTCAGACCCTTCTTCTTACCTGCCGTTGAATCGGAGGACAGTTTTTGTGACATGCCTCGTCGCCCATGTTAAGCAGGCGCTCAACGTTTTACTTCCTAAACATCTAATGCACGTGAAATATTGGAAGCGAACTGTGTATACCTTCCGAATATATATGCATGAAATGCGAAACCGCTGAGTTCTATATTTACGCGTTCGCCCGCATCTTTCGTCTGTTGGAACATGATCTTGTAACGCGCAGTACTGAAGAAACAAAAATCCAGAAGGGCACACTCTTAAGTCCTTTGAAAACCTTGAGCACTCATGGCAATTCCAAGGACAATGTATAATTGCGAGAAAGAAAGCTCTATATGCTAGCTCCGAATCTAAAACATTGCTGATATTACGCTCGCCATCGCTTGTGCGAGGGCTCGAACGCATCCGATCAAACATCGCACGAAATCCGTAAATAAGAAAATCAGTCAGTGCCATAAAACAAAAACGAAGATAAAGTTACTGTACTTGAATTATAAAAATTAAATTTTTTTTAAAATCCTGTTTACAATTTCTGCGCAATAATTATACCACGCGTGGTTCGTCCGCATGAAAAGTAAATTCGTCGACATTTTTTTTTTTTGTAATTCTTAGTTTTTCGAAAGTTTAAAGAAAATTAAATAGCAATCAGACATAAACGTAAGCAGGAATTTATACTCCCAAGAGTTAATTTTTTTTTTCTAGACGACATTTATTTACTCGATAAAGTGTTGTAACTGCGCATGCTTTGCAACTTTCAGGGCCCTCTTTTTATTGATAATACACTCTGTCTGTCATACTATAAAACGTGGAAGCAAGCTGCGTTACGATACCTATACGGATTCGTCAATAAAAACTCCTACATGTAATGGCTGGGAAGCTTTCTTTTTTATTTAGCTGTTTTGCCGATTCTTTTATGTTCGGATCTACCCATTCAGTCCCTTTATTGAAGTGGCAAATGTTACAGAACGAGCCGCAGCCGTGCGGAGTAAAGGAGGTAATATTGAAAAAACCAAAACTATAGTCCTACCCCTTCCACGATACTGACGGGATCATAAATTCCACTATCACAAGAACACTGCTCCTCCTCCATGTAAGGAAGCCCAAATCGTGTTGTCTGAACACGATACCGCGACCGTTTTCATAGTCGACGACAGGATAAGAACGAGAGAGGTCTTTCAGGCGTCCCGACCCCAGCGCGAGTTTCCAATATCTTAAATAACACTTGGACGTCTCGTGAACCTCGAGAGCATGGAGGCGCGATCACAACACGGCGTCTACAGCAGCGAGCGCATGATAGAGGCTAAGCGTTCGAAAGAGATGCCTTTTTGTTGTCATCTTCTCAGCGACTATCCACGTTTTCCACAAGGGCGCACCCCTATTCAATGTCGTAACTTCTAATATGCGGTAAAACATCGTTTTGATCTTTCCACACCGCTAAAAGGTGTTAACGAAAAATGCGTGGTCTCACACAATCTTGTGTTGCCTCACCTATATTTGGTCGCATACTGCAGGCTGAAATCTTTTGTTATTTCTTCGTCTCGCATACCGTGTACAGAACCCACGTGACTGAGAACGGTGGGAAACAGCTAGACGTCTATAGCACAGTCAGATATCTTTGGTTCTGCCCACAAAGGCAATGATCTCTGGAGATATTGATAAGATTGACCATCCTATTGGCAATTCATCAAGATTTCATCAAGATCCTAGCCGTTCGTCAGGATATCGTGGCTCTGAAAATCCAAGTTTCTTCGGATGAATACGAGTGTCTTTTTTTCTATTGTTATAGGTTTTATTTAAAAACACGAAACTATGGTAATAATTTATTTCCAAGGAAAACAGGAAGCATTTTTAGAACCCTAGAGTGCTGCCTTAAAGTAACGAGAAATTCTAAAAAAAAAAGGTCGCACGCGTGAAAATGAAGGCACGCGTGCACGGCAGTGTTCGCTGTATGTCAGTTTAGTAAAACATGTCTCCGAAAACTTCAGTCTTACTTTTGTGATAACCTTCCCTATTAAAAAGCTTAAACACGGCGCAGTTTCTCGGAAACGTATACGTGCCGCCGCGTTGAGGAACCAGCGTCCGCGGTCCAGATTCAGCTAGAGCGACCGACCGCAGACCCGCGGTCGAGATATGGATTGCGTCCATCCGCGCATACATATATACACGCACGACGCTGCCCGCGCGATAGGCTCTCTTCGATTTTCGATATTGCGTCCCGCTTGATCCGTGTACTTTTAGAGAGCGCTCACGCCACTTTTGGAACGAGACGGACAGGCAGCCGTGCCGCATGGCAGCGGCATCGAAATAAACCAAACCTCGCGTAGAAACTTTTCTAAATGCCAATTTACACAATAGAGACTTTTGGTAGATCGTATGACAGAGCTTTGTGTTGCAAGGAGGAACTCATACACTTTCACTTTGAAGCATGCATTGCGCACACGCTCGTATACGTCCGCAATCCGCGGCGTACTCTCTACGGAAACTTTTCAATACACATCAGCATATAGTAGCGTTCGACTGCTCCACACAGTACCGTCTGAGTAGGTTGTGATTGCATACGACGAGTTACGGCGCGAGTCACCGTGGTCCGCTTCGTATGCCGCGCAACAGCCAATAGAACGCTCTCACTAAGCGTTCGGCGCATGCTTGACGCTCCCCTAACTTTAGTTCACAGAAGGCAGGCGGCTATGCGTGCGAGGACTCGTGCCGTCCCGTGTTCCACGCGTGATGGTGTTGTCACACGTACAGAAAGACTAATGTTCCCTCAATGCATTGCGGCAGCGGCGGCGTAGTCAAACTGGCTAAAGCTTGGCAGATGGCATAATGCCGAGTTCGTGGCTGAGTTGGCAACGCACATGGCTTTCTCACAGCTGGGCAGGGTTCGAATCCCAGTATAGTCACGGACTGTATGAGAACGCCAGGACATGTCTTTCGAACGCCCGACCCCCAGCGCGCGCTCCGAGCCTGCCGTGCGCGCATGAGACCCTGAACAGTAACTTGTCGCAGGTAGAATGACTGCGCGTGACATTTGAAGTCCCTTTCCGCCCTTCTCACCTCTGTCAGTGGCTATAGTGGACTTGCTGCTCCAGTGCAAGGTTCCAGTACATGTTTGTCAGTCACCGTGTGTTCTAATTTAGAATCGCCCTGAATGTAGAACATAGCATAAAAAGCAGTCGCCGCGATCTGCCTTCAGTCAATCTACGCTATCTCCCTTTTATTTGGAGTCCCAGCGCTACCCACGCTCTGAGCCATTGCTGCCTACCAGGCTTCTCGGAAAGCGCTAGATAAAAGCGTTTTTCGTGCGTCCGTGCATGTGTTACCGCAAACTGCTTCAATTAAGCGCGAAGAATATGCCCTGAAATAGTCTTTTTTAGTCGGTGTGTTCGTATTGCAACTAGCTTTTGGCACCACTCGGACTTAAGGTTAAACAGGTGTATGTAGTTCGATCCTGCCGTCTGGACGACATTATTGTACTTTTGTGTTGGT